GGCAATTAGAGAAATATTTGTTTGAAAAAATTGATAAAACATATTCACTTTAGAATTTCCTTAAAACGAAAAAACGAACTTATGAGTTGTATATTATCTCAAGATCTTGAAATATACAGTGTGTGTGTATATAATATTTTGAAATATAAATTTTCTATATACAACCCAACAATTTTGCCTTATTGTTCTCATTAATTTAAGCACGTAATTATGATATAAAATAATTTAAAAAATCTAATTGTTCCTCTTGTATGTAAAACTTGACTTTTCACTAATTTACAATAATTACAGAAATAAGTATTTTTCATATTATTATGACAACACAATATTATATTGTTAAGAATATTAATGCTAATAATAAGAGAGCGTATTAGGTTATTGTACTCATATAATTACTTAACACAAATGCATATTCAAGTGTTTTAAATGAAGCAATGTGCTGACAGTACAATTTATAAAAATGCATAAGATTGCAACCTGAAAAAACAATTCAGTTGCCATGATTCAAATATATAATTAAGAACTACCTATCGAAGTTGGATAAACGGTATAAATGTTTTGCCTTTATTGCAAATTAGATATACAACAATGTTTTATAAATAGACAATTTTCTTATAAAATCTGTGTGTTCTAAAATGTGCAAATTGTTACATAAATATGAATATTTCCCACAAATACAAATTGTGTTATAAATGTGTTAAAAAGAACATAAATATTTAAGCCTTTTCTTTTTTAAATTAAAATTTTACTTGTTAATGTATGATATTAGAAAGTAAAATTCTAAATTTATTTTAAATTTACAATTAGTTATTTCAATAAGCTACAATAATTGCTCGATTGGCAATTTATGGATAATTGCTACAATAACTAACTAATAATACAATAACTAACTAATTCATTAAAGATATTAGTTAAATTATAAGTACAAACTATATTATAATATCATTTGGGTAGTTCGAAGGAATAGAATACATTATTATAAAAAATTATGAAGAACAAATTATTTTGGATATGTTTTATTAACTAGAATTACAATGTATCATTTTTTATTTTTTATGAACAATGAATTTAATCGTAATTTAATCAATTCTTTATTGGTAAAAATCAAAGATGACCTGCTATTTAATTGTTAATAGCGTAATTTAATTGTTAATGAAACAGATTTTATGAATTCTCGATTCAGTAATTCGAAAATAAAGATGGCGCCAAATATCTTAAGCATAGATTCAAAAATACTTACGAAAAAAAAATTTCAAAACGAGGAATTTTCAATTATTGAAAAGACTACAGATGAAAATGATGAAAATGACGTTCAAAACAGAAGCGAGAGTTATATAAAAAGTGAAGGCTGGTTCAAGACGGAGCTGAAATGGAAGAACATCATAACTATTAGTCTTTTCCACTTATGCTTCGTATATGTCTTTTTTACTTTTAAATTTTTCGAAAATCTGAAGACGACCGCTTGGAGTAAGTATTCTTTGTAAAATTCTTTTTAATTTAATTCTTTGACTTTCTAGAAAAACTACATAATAAAACAGTAAAATTTAATCTATTAACGATTTAATTAAAATCGATTGTATGTTTATAAAAAACGCCATAGTCATTTTTAACGACAGCTGATGTCAGAAAGCGTTAAAAGCCAATTGATTAGACTTAAAGAGAGCACGCAATAGAAGCTTAACAATAGATTAGTAAATTGCTGTTTGAAATTTCTCATTTCTATTGTACAATGTCGATTGTATCATAAATTATTTTAAATTGTCAAATCAATGCTGCTTACATAGTGCTCTTATGAAATACGGATTATTATTCACAATTTTAAAGCATTTCTAATGTTCTAATTGTGCCGACTTTTTTTGTTTCAAGTATATGGCATGATTTTAATAGGAGGAATAGGCGTCACTGCCGGTGCTCATCGTTTATGGACCCATAAAGCTTATAAGGCAAAATGGCAGCTTAGAATCATACTTGTCGTTTTATATGCTTCAACAGGCATGGTAGATAAACGTTTATAATTACGTTTTATGCGTTGTAAGACGGAAGAATTTTTCTTTACAGAAGAATTTCTTGTATTCTTTTAGAATGACATTTTCGAATGGGTGCGAGATCATCGAGTGCATCACAAATATACGGATACGGATGCGGATCCGCATAATAGTAATCGAGGGTTCTTTTTCTCCCATGTAGGCTGGTTGATGATGAAGAAACATCCAGATGTGATTCGAAAGGGTCGTCATGTTGATATGAGTGATATATTGGCTGATCCTATTGCTGCATTCAGTGTCAAGTAAGTTTGTGTAAAGAATTAATTATGTAAAGTGGTTTTATCCGGGAAAAGACAAAAGAAAAGAAGGATGTTACAAAAAGATTAGCCATTTCTGTGCTTGTGCAACGTAAAATCGATATCATTTCTTGTTTTTGAGGCGAGGAATTCGATGCTGTTAGCTAAAATTACATCACATGACAAAAACATAAAAATTGAGTTCAAAGTCGAGAAAACGTGTAATATCGCTATTATTTGACACCTACACATTCTTCAAATAACTAGGAGTCTCAGTTATAATATTAATATTTATAATAATTTTTTAAGTATACAATCTTACAAATCTCTCTAAAGATGTTAAAAAATATATCTAAGAATTATTTAATAATTTTCATATATTTATTAATACGATGAAAATTAAATCGGAACACGAATAACCCATCATATGTAGGTAATAAAAGACTGGAAAATCATTGTGTAACGTACATAATCATCATACTAAAGGTTAAAAATACTATATTTAAATTACTATATTTAAGTAACAAAAATATCAGGCGCAATGGAAAATTTTTGAGAGCACGAACATGTTTACTGAATGCTCATTTTTTTGTACACAATTTTTTATATATTCCTGTTATGTGATGTAATTTTAATTAGCTCAAAAATTAAAAGAAATGATACCGATTGTACTTGTCCTGAGTAATGCGAGTATAGCAAAAGATTTTTTCAGAACACCCTACTTTATTTACATATTGTACTTACTTGATTCATTCCAAAAGTATATTTATTATTCCAATTTTTTTCTCAATTTTAGAACCTTCTCAACTTTAGAAAGTTTTTTATAAAAATTTTTTTACACAATATATATAAAACTGTAATAAAAATTATATGTCGTAATTCATTTTTGCTTTTTTTGTAGATATTTCTTGATATTAAAAATTATCTTCACTTTTTTGCTTCCGGTAATGCTTCCTGTATATGGATGGAATGAGACTTGGTATAGAGCTTTCGTGTCGCAAATTATTCTTCGTTATGTTCTCCTTTTAAATTTCATATGGTGCGTTAATAGTGTGGCTCATATTTGGGGCTCAAGGCCGTATGATGCGTAAGCATATAATTAATATCAAAATTATTTTCATATATAAATTTAATCAAAAGAAATTTAGAGCTTTTGCTATTTTGTATCACCCAAGAATAATTTTATTTTATTTTTTAAATGGCAGGCACATAAATCCGACGGAAAATCAATGGGTTAACTTTGTTGCGGCCGGTGAAGGATCGCACAATTATCATCATGTCTTTCCATGGGACTATAAGACTTCCGAGTTTTGCAATTCTACAACTACAGATTTCATCAATTTTTTTGCAAAAATCGGGTGGGCATATGATCTCAAAGAACCATCGCAGGAGCTCGTGAAAATCGTCGCGATAAAAAAGGGTGATGGAAGCCATCCTTTATGGAATGCTATGCCATATCCAGCTAGTTGAATTGAATAATAAAAATGATAGAAAGTTATTTTGCAATAGAGAGTTTTTTAGATTAGTTAACAACAAATGGACGCAATTAAAATAATTTATGTGTTTGTTAATATAACAATATAGATCTAAGATCGTATTAATTTTTTTAGAAAAAATGTAACATTTCTTTAATATTTGATAATACTGTACGATAAATTTAAACTTTTTTTTCTAGAACACAAACAGGATCATGTGATTTTTATAGATTTTTTGGTCGTTGAAAACGAATTCGTAAATAAAATTGCTCTATTACGTCAGGTTTTTTAGATATTTTATCTTAAAAAAATGTTATTTTTGACACTTGTAGGTTTAATTTTCGAAAACCTGACGTGATAGAGCAAAATAGATTCGTTTTTAGCAACAAAAAAATCTATAAGAATTGCTTCCATTTATGATCCATGTCGGACAGTGGAATTGCATAATAATAAGCTTGGCATTTTTCATTGTTCTCTTTACTTCACAGATTTAAAAAAAAAATAATTATATTAATAAATACATATATTAAAACAAAAGATTGCTGCAACATATTCCATCCATATTGTAAATTTTAATTATTA